ATCTCACCAACAAAACCGTTTTTCATGGCAGAACCAAGCACATTGAAATTCACTATCACTGGATTCGAGAAGTAGTCAAATCAGGTAAAATTTCATTGCAGCATTGCCCAACTCACCTCATGATTGCCGATCTACTTACGAAGCCTCTAGGATCAGCTCAATTCATCAAACTTCGAAAACTACTGGGCATCAGAAACATAGCATGATGAACTTGAGGGGGTGTGTTGTGGTAAAAGTGCTCAAGAGGTCAAGTCCATCATGTGTTATAGAAGGTACAGGTGATAGCTGGGGAGAAGTTTGAAGAAGGCGGTATGGAGTTGTTTCATTGGGTGATTAAGAAGAACAAGTTAGATTGATCCCAAAGCGTAAAGCTACATTTCATTCTTGTCCTAATTAGTCTATGCTCATGTGTTCGTGTTGTGTGTGTGTTTTGTATCTTTCCTCTTTGGGATTAGCTCTTAAAAAAATTTGTTGTCGAGATTTCTCTTATAACCCTTGCCACTCTCGAACTTCGGTTTCTTCCCCATCGCGTGGAAACTGAAGTTCTTAGTGAGCACATTTTTCTCTTCCTCTTTTAATTCCTTTTCTCTCGATATTCAAACCTGGATTGTACTCACTCTTTACGATAGAACTTCCTACCACTCTATCGTATCCTGCATTCTGCAGGTAAGGCGTCGATTTTCTCCGCCCTCTCTTTACTACCTTACGAGTTCTTTAAAACTCATACAATACCTGTTCTGTCCAGGTGAATATTTCTTTTCTTATTTCTCTAAGTACTAGTGTGTGTTATATTTTGAAATGCATCGCGTGGAAACTGAAGTTCTTAAACTTCCTACCACTCTATCGTATCCTGCATTCTGCAGGTAAGGCGTCGATTTTCTCCGCCCTCTCTTTACTACCTTACGAGTTCTTTAAAACTCATACAATACCTGTTCTGTCCAGGTAAGGCGTCGATTTTCTCCGCCCTCTCTTTACTACCTTACGAGTTCTTTAAAACTCATACAATACCTGTTCTGTCCAGCATTCTGCAGGTATCATACTTCTTTCCGCGTTGAACCTCTGTCCGCGTGAACTCATTTCAATTCAAGCCTCTGAGCTGTTGTGACCATTCAAACGGTTTAATGGGGTTTGATCCCTCACTTGGTCTGGTCAAAGTTTCAAGAACTTGGTTGTACCCGCATCAAGAGAGGAAATTAAAGAACTAAGTAATCAATCAAAATAACAGACTTATACATAAATTGACCCACTATCTTTGAGAGTTTCAACAACTCTTGAATCAGAGACTAAGGTCTTCAAAGACCAATCACATTGGAGCCCTGGGTAAGAAGACTTGCCAAATGAACAGACTGGCAGACATATGGACAATTCTAGCTTCATCGAGTCTGAATCTAGGAGGAGGGTGTAAATGCCTTTTGATTTGTACTCAGGATCCCTTCCTCACACCAGCCCCACCTGCAAGCCCTATAAATATGGTATGAACTCTAGAGTCTGGTTGCAAACAAGTAGATCTCTGGGAGAAGCACGGCAACTCAGGTGGCAACTTGCTATCCTGGTTGTGAGATGTGTGTAGCGGGAGGTTTTGAAGGATTCTTGATAAATTTCATGACCACCCGGTTTCCGTTTGATTGGATTCCAACAACATCACCACAGATCAGTATCTCGGGACTGAACCACAGTTCAGTCCAACATTCTTAGTAACCACCGGACTTTAAAAGCGGGCGGTCTCAGGTTTTATTTGCGGGCGCTTTTTAGTAGCCCCCTTTTTTTTAAGAAAAAATTGTTCCCAACCCTCGACATTTGGGTCTAGGTACCTAAGGGACTCAATATTAAGTCCTCAAGTCCTTAAACTGAGTACTTAAGTGAGGTACTTAACTATTCAAATACTTAGGTAGCTCCTCTTATCAAAACTCATGGGGTACAGAATAGCATAGACTTGTGTTTTTACAATGTAAGGGCAAAGATTGTGGTGATAGAGTGAAGAAAAAGAAACTTGGCCAAAAAATTTTTGGGTATTACTGGGACCCCCTAACATTTGGGTCTCAGGGCTGGGGATGGGGCCGGGCTCTGTTCATGACTAGACTGGAGCAACTGTACAAGAACTTGCCCGTTGTTGTAAAATATGCATAAATTATTTAAAGCGGGACACTGTTTTAGGTGTCCCGAATTGAAAATACGTTAGTTTTACATTTGTTATGATGAACTTGCCCAAATTTTTAAAAAATATGCCAAAAAAATCCAACTTGAAACCCCCTACTGTAAAACTTTTGACTTGAAACCCCCTAATAGGGGGTGTCAAGTTCAATTTTTTTTACGGGAAAACCCGTAAATAACTTTCATGTTGTAGCATAAATTTACATAAAATTTGGGAGAACGGGAAAGTGTTATGTATCCTGTTCTTGCATAAAACGTAAACAGATAAGTTTACAGCACAGCTTTGAAGACCTAAATTTGCCTGTTTAACTCTTGGAAAAAGGTGTGCTTGATAGTGGATGCAAGGACAACCCTGCATCCTCTTACCAGCAGTTTTCTCATTACCATGTGGAAGATCAAGGCAAAAAAGGAAAAAAGCCTTGATTGTGGTTTACAAGCGATCATAAAAACTTGGGAAAGTTTTTTTACAGTTAAAACATAAAAACTTTCCTGTCTCGTAGTTTTTTTGTTGTAAAAATTCAAACTTGACACCCCTTAATAGGGGGTTTCTACACATTTTTACGCTACAAACTTGCCCTTTGTTGTGAAACATGCACAAATTTTTTTAAAGTGGGACACCTAAAAAGGTGTCTCAAATTAAAGCCATTTCAAGAAAGATTGACAACTTTTTTTGGAGAAAGTCATCTCTGCAGTGGGTAAAACCAGAGAAAAAACTTGATTACAGGTTTATTTTTTTCTGTATTCTTCCATTTAGCAAAGAGACAAAATCAAGTGAGGGACAAAAGCCATGTTTTGCACATTGGCAAGATTTTCGAAGAGAATCAATCTTGGTTGAAACAACTGTAAGAACACATCTGCCAGTGTGTGTCTTACAAAAATAATTTTATGAACAACTTGTCTGAATTTTCAAAAAATACACAAAAAAAATGCAAACTTGAAACCCCCAATTTAAGACCTCCAAGCCACCTTGAGAAGCAGAGAATCCGCTGCTTCATGGAATCCAAGAGCCTCATTGTATGGTGAGCAGGGCTATGACCCAGCCCTGGAAATGCCTGGTTGCATCTTCAAGTAGACCAGGGCCTGTTGTGGGCCTGTATGAAAGTGATAGGACCAAAAATGTCACGGCCAGAGATCCTGGGACTCTGTAGGCCAAGCTCAGCCAGCCCAGGGTGCATACCGCTTGCCTCCAAGAAATAATCAGGCAGGCTTGGGCAGTTGGGGCCAGGGACAGGTGATGACCCTAACAGTGAGGTGTGAGTTTGGCGCAGTACCACAGTGATGTATAATATAATTGACTGTCTGAACCGTCTGAACCGTCAGACAGTCACACGCCCTGTGTCATCTTAGACTCTCTCATCACCGGGCTGACCACCACAATAAGCATCACTGTTGTCCATCAACATCCTCTCAACATCAATTGCTCTAAACTTAACAAAGTCCCACGCTCGCGCATCCTCGCTCGACGCCTCGCGAGGGACTTACGCCAAATGTGTACGCTCCAAAACCTCAGAGATATGGGTTTGGCAGGGAGCTTGCTTCAAGGCCTTATACCTTTTTCCACACCGAGGATTTGGGTCTAGTCCAAAGGAAAAAGCTGAGTGTCTGCCTCTTCTGCATAATGTACATATTTTTTTCCCAAGGAAAGTGCTTCCCTCTTGCCTAAAATGCACATCAAATATTGGCTCTTAACAGAGGATTACACATGTGACCTCTCTCTCAAGTCCAAATTTGCTGCTAAGACCCACTCTTTGAAGCACATTTTTTCGCAGAGGGGAGCACATTCCTCGGGAAAAAAAATATGTACCTTATGCGCCAGAGTCAGGCGCACAAGTTCTTCTTTTGGACCATATGTGAATCCTTGGTGTGGAAAAAGTTATAAGCACTCGAAGTGAGCTCCCTGCAAAAGCCAAATCTCTGAGCTTATGGAGCGTACACAATTGGCGTAAGTCCCTCGCTCGACGCCTCGCGAGGATGCGCGAGCGTGGGACTTTGTCAAGTTTACAATTGCTCATCCTCATCCAGATTCCAATGTGTAGTGAGTTGACTTATAACACAAGGTAGGATCACAATCCAGTTTACTCTTGCAAGAGTGCAAGAATAAGACAACACAAAAGACATATAAAAAATGACAATACACATACATATATGGACATCATTCAAGTAGCTTGATCAGACCTATGTGGCCATCAAGCATTTTGTTGTATTCTCAACTCAGATCAAGGTAGAATTTTTATCAAGTTGTTTTGATGGTTGATGAATTCCTTGACCGAAGCATGCAAGAAGCAGTAAGGAACTTAGTTGAGTTTATCCTTGACCTTCTTTGTCACTTATGCCTGAGGTTGTTTGTCAGATCCCAGAATCATACCCTTGACTCCTGGTGTACTTGGGAAGTGGGTTCGAGACTTGCTTTATTCCTTACAACCCAGTGTCAAGACTCACATCACTTAGATCAAAAATTGACTATAAACCAGGCAGAATCTGTTCTTGAGAGTTCGGCTGCATTGATTGAAAGCGTCATATCTTCTAGAATCAACGATACATGCACATCCGTCAATCTCCTTGAAAGATAATTACTTGAGATTCGTGTATCGTCAACTGAAGTACAATGAAATAAGCCGGACAGAACAAGTCTAATGAATGTTGACACTAGATAGTAGACTTCAAGTTGGCATCAGAAAAAGATAGTTTTTAGCCTCGGAGAAGAAACAGACAGGAGGTCAAGTCGAGTGAACCGAAGTAAATTGACCTGAAACATCGACTCATGGTTGATAATGGAGAGTCACAACTACTTAGTTTGAGGGAACTAGGATATCCCTAAAGACCATTTCTCTCGATTGTTCCAGGGCACTTTAAGGTCCGTGGAAGTCTCTCTCATTTTCTTTTGCCAAAGTGGCAACGTCATCATCGGTGAGCCGCGCGGGCTCGAGATACTCGGAGTTTACCCGGCCCGAACAGTAAGAAGTACGACCTATGGGATCTATATCTAGATCTTCAATGGCTGGGTGTTCATGCTAAAACCAGAAATTACGAACAGATGCGAGTTATAATAATGATATTTTACCCAAGGAGTGAGGAGAACAGATGAAGTACGCACCACGGCCGGAACTTCAGCGCAACAGATAGATGCGAACTCGTTAAGCGAATTCTTCACTATTTCCATGGTTATGCTGCAAATGTCGAATAGAGCAAACTAGACATCAGTCACATATAGTTCACGACACCAAATGAAGGCTTACTAATTTTGTGAGGGAACTATTGGGTTCGGAGTTCCATCAGCTTTTTTCGACCAGTACATGACCTGAAGGATATGTTCGAGAAGAAAGCAATCAGGTTGACAGCGACATTGACTTGTTCATAAACTTGTCACTCACACCACAGCTTTTATAACCTGTACTATTCCACCTATTGTTGAACATTGCCTGACCAGCCCTACAGCAAACCAAGGAAAAAATGAATGAACCAGTACATAGAAGAAAATCAATGACACCTAGCAAGAAGTATTTCAAGTTCTGAATCGCTTACACCTGACAGTCATTTAAATCTACTGGGCCTCCTGCATCGGGGCATTGGTACAAGTTGGTTTGATCGTTTTGATCACTGGGGGGTTTACAGTCGCGGGGTTTTAATTGATTTTGGCGCGATCGAAGGCGGTTGGGTAGGCCACCGGCACGAACTAAGGAAGTTTGTAAGAGGGTTAATACTAAGACTAAGGTGATGAACTTCATATCAGAAAAGTATGGAATGAGTGTGCGCAAAGGATGTAATTAGCTCTAGCTGTTCTAGGATCTTGATTTGATGGGGAGCGTGACGGTACTGGAAAGCGAGGAAACTCAAAAGAATAAACTTAACAAAGTCCTCATATATAAGTACAAAAAAACGGTCAAATCATAAAAGGAGGGTTCCAACTTCTTACTGAAAATATCAGTTCTATTAAACTTGGTGGTTGAGTTTTAAATAGATTTCTTCCGACTTTCCTCTCCCAAAAGTCTTCGAATTATGTAAGTTGACAAGATGTTAAGTTTATCTTGAGTTCAGCACTTTGTATTAATCATTTTAGACACTCGAGGGAATGAAATGTCGTTTTTTGTATTACACCATTCACTCTGTCATATGTACATGCATTCAATTCGACAGTGGTCTTATTCACCGGGGGAAAATTGGTGTCACATATCGATATGTGAGACATCTGTGGATCTGAGTCACAGTGTACACACATAGAAACCGAGTGACATACTGTCACATCCCTCGGATGTGACTTTAATTCACTTATGGTTCACATTCATTCAGCTCCTTCGGTAGTTTTAGTCCAATATACTGTTTGGGCAGATTCCGACTGCGTTATGGCGTAAGACAAAGTCGGGAATCCTAACAGTTATGCCCTAAAGTTCCAAAAGCCTAAACTCAGAACCTGATTCCTTCACAGGCTTTAACCTGGCATGTATGGGTTTATCAAAGAGTCACAGCTACATATACTTAACTGCTACATACAACTTTTCAGTACGCTGAGCCCTGGTCAAGCTTACCCAGATTGGGCTAAAACTCGCCGGGTTTCCTTTCAAATCGTGTCAGGCATTAGATAAGTGCTTAACAAGCCTTGTAGGGATACTAGGTAGGTGCTTTCAGATAAAGAATAGACCTTAAGATACTACAGGACAAATCCGACCGGCATTAACTCCAGCACATCTCCAACAGGTTTACCACTCACTTCACATCAATCTCCTCGTATCAAGGGTGCGTTTCATATCTCACTCACGACCGATCGATCAATCCAGCTCGACTATCAACAACATCATCAAAAACAACCTATCATCACATCTCACCTATTTGCAAGCAAAGGTTTGCAGCTGCTTGACTGGTGCAAGGGCGAAACCTTTGTGACAATCTGATTTGACAAACTGGTGTTGTCAATGACCATTGCTCAGCATTTATCAACTCGAATCAACGACCATTGATATTGTATCAATTCTCGACATCCAACCAACCATGAACCGCCAGTGCGATTGTGCGATATGCCTCAACAAGGGTCCAACAGTCTCTCTACTGACCATCAAGCAACATCGAGCAAAACACGGCTTGGGGCCTCCTAAAATTCAACCTCAGCAGCCTTCGTCATCAGATCCAACACCCTCACCGGATCCAGCACCATCATCTGATTCATCAACACCATCTGCTTCAAAATCATCATCCAACATGACACAGGATGTGGTATCCTCGATACATGACGAGATCCTAAGGACTAGTTTAAACTCAATTGTAAATCTTAGCCAGCAACCTTTAGGTGCAGCAGCTGGTGAGTATATGTACATTTGTAAGGTTTGCTACGGAGTTTTACGACCCGCCACATGACTCTACACTTTGTTTATTTATGTAACTATCCAGCAAAACGTACCGACGGAAATTGGCTATTCCTCTGTGTTGCGCTGGTGACATACCTTCATGTTGTTGCTGGAGTCAGCAGAAGGGTTGTCGATTCAACTCTCAAGATTTTACGCCTCATCTTAATCCAATTCAGCCAAAACATCTCCCTTCACAAGTTTGATGAAGATCTTCTCAAGACTTTTCCGACTAGTAGTGCTACAGCATTGAAATGGTTGGAAATCGAATCTGTTCTAGAGCGCAGTGTTTGTTGTCCGAAATGTTTCAAGAAATACAGAAATCCCGAAGGCGATGAGCCTCCAATTCCTAAGTTATGTACACGTAAAGAAACCGAACGTAGCAAGTCTTGCAATGAGCCTCTTTTCCGGAAAAACAACATACCTTTCAGATTTTACAGCACACAGCCTTTTATACCTTGGCTCACCCGCTTTCTCAAACGTCGTCACATCGAAGATCATCTTGATAAATCTATCCTCATTCATCAACAACCGCGCCGGGAGCCAGCTACGGATATATGGGACGGAGAAATGTGGCGGTCTTTTCAAGATCCCAAAACAAACTCAGCTTTCACTTCAACTTCTGGAAATCTAGCGTTTGGAATATATGTAGATTGGTTCAACCCGTTTGGAAATAAGATTGCAGGGAAAAAGTCGTCAGTTGGAGCTATCATCTTGTTTTGTCTATCTCTTCCACCAGAAATTCGATACAAGCTCGAGAATATATGTGTAATTGGAATCACCCCTGGACCACACGAGCCATCAGTGCTGCAAATGAACAATGTGATCGATGATCTAGTAGCCGAGCTGAAGCATCTCTGGAAACACGGAATTGATATCCCAACATTTCGACATCCTGAAGGCCGTAACATAAGGGTTGCACTCATGACTGCTGTGTGTGACCTGCCCGCCATTCGAAAATTAATCGGCTACGCATCACATAGCGCTCGTTTCTTTTGTTCTTTCTGTTACCTGACACAAGATAACAACCACTCGCTTGAATATCAAAGCTGGACGCTTAGAAATCACACGGATCACACTCGTCAAGCAAATGCCTGGAAAGATGCTCCAACTCATAATGCTCGAAAGAAACTGTTTGATACCTGTGGGGTCCGATGGTCATGTTTAAACAAATTAGAATACTGGGATCCGACAAAGATGGTCGTGGTTGATACAATGCACTGTATCAGTGGAATCCTTGAGTACCATTTCAGACGGGTATGGAATCTTGATGAATTAGGCAAAACCCTTGATAAAGAAAAGGACGACTCGAAACTCAGCAACCTCTTGCAAGAAGCAATTGATACGGACATTTCAATGAACGACACGTGGGAACCTTTTCAACCTGATCTGGACCAAGCAATGGGCTTCTCAAATAGTGACACTTCATCTTTTTCAAACAGTACAGGTCGAAGAGTAGGAAACTTATCGCTTAATCCATGTACATTGACAGTATTAGAAGAAGGCCTTGGTGATGACGAAATGGATGACATTTATGATGATGATGGAGAACCTCTTAGTGGGACGGACAAATCTAGTATTCCAGACGACCTTTTAAGTACTGAAGCTCTCAAAAAAATTCGCTCAGCAATTGTCCACACAACAATTCCATCGTTGATGTCCCCTCCTCCTTCCAATCTAGGAAGTGCTTCACATGGAAAACTGAAATCATCCGACTGGGTTGTCCTTGCCACAGTTCATATTCCTTTCGTCATATTCCAGCTTGTTGACTTGGGCATGATTGCGCCAGACATAGCAATCAATGCCCTTCATCTATGCAGTTTGACTGAAATCGTTATGAATTATCAAAGCTCTATGACAAAAATTCAGAATTATTTCAATCATCTCACTGCCTACCGAGCCACCCTACAGAAACTTCGATCCGATTTAAAGCCAACTCCAAATCAACACATGGCTTTCCATGTCCCGTTTCAGCACTTCAACTATGGTCCGTCAGCTTACTTGGCAGCCTGGCAGTTTGAGCAATACAACGGTATTCTACAACGAATTCCAAACAATCGAAAGATATGTAAGTCAAGTATTAAATCCGCTTAATATTGTATCTCACTCACCTCTCCTTGTTCTTTCATAGGGGAACTTGATTTGACAATGCTTCGACAAGTCTGTCGAGCATCAAATCTGGCTGTGTCACTAGACTCTCCAGATCTACCAGAGTGCGTGAGGGAAGTAGCTCCTCTTATGCAGTGTGGTAAAAAGTTGTCTTCCTCTATTGGCGAGATTCCCCTTGACGAAGATTCTGCAACATCAACATCAACAAAAGCGATCATAAATATGTCAGATAACCTCTGCTCAGCCACTTATCAAGCTCTGCTCCGAAAACTCAATCCTCACAATCCGTCTTCCCAGCATCAGTTAAATCAAGCCATCACCTCTCAAAAACTCATATCTTCACGGGTAAAGTTTGCAAAACAGATCACTTGGTCAGGCCACACTCTCACAAAATATGAGAGTAGCTGCAAGAACGGAATTATTGAATACAACCCGACTCACAACCCAGAAGCGCCAGTATTTGGTCAAGTTCTCCAGATATTCCACCATACTCGCTGGTGTACATCAACTTCTCAAGACATACAAGAGACCTTCATATCACTTCTTAGATATCGGGCGTTGAACGAGAGTGATGGCTTACGCAACCCTTTCAAAAACTGGTCAGACCTCAACATACAATTATTTTATACAAATCCAACAAAGGCTCACATGGCACAAGGATTTGGTTTGGTTCCCGAATTGATACCTGAAGTCATACAGCTTCATCAAGTCCGTTATCCCACTGCATCATACAATTACAAATCAAGAACTTTTGGTATTTCACAACCAACAATCGCTGTAAAATCTTTGAGCCGCGGTCGTCATACTTGGTCATGACCAATCACATCTACTTTGGGACATGTATTCATTTGATTTTTTCTTTTTTCTCATTCATTCATTTGATTTTCTCTCATTGGATACAACTTCTCGCAAGCCTACATTCATCGTTTGTTTGGCCTTAATTTTCAATTTCCAATCTGCAACATCTCCGAATGCTTTAAATTGATTCCATCTTGACCCCACTTTTTCCATCTTCATCACATCTTTTCATTTTATCTTTTCATTATATCTTCTGTCCGAACATAGTCTCGTCTTGTCAACTCTTCTCATCTTATTACTCGCTTTCCATCAATATCATCTCATTTTCTCTTGTCTACATCTACTTTTTGTTCATCGAGTCTAAATCCCATCTTATTAATCACTGTCCATCATGCCACAAACACCCTCCACCACACCTGCTCGCCCAGCCAATAAAACACCAAACTCATCTACCACACCTTCTCGTCCAGTTAATAACACACCAAATTCAGCAACACCTTCCAATGACCCCTACAGGGATATGCGACAGCTTCAAGCGCGGTGGAACCAGCTATCAATAAATAGTGGTGAGAGTACTCCAGAGAACACCCCCAGTCCCAAACGACGTGTCTACAAACCTCGAGCCCGAACTAAAAAGAAGCCTGAAGATATGTATGCAGCCATCAATCTGAAAAAATACAAAATCTCTAAGTTCCTCAGTGTACGCTACCCTGAATACTTTTTTTCTTCTTTCTTGTTTACCAAAAACTCACACAACTTGCTATATGTAGGCATCTGCGCATGACTTATGCTTGATATTAATGGGTCGAGCCACTCCAAGGTCACCATTTCCGCCACCTCCCGATCAATACTACAGCCGTTCTTTACAACAATTCAAGCCTATAGATGAATAACCAGATTGTTACCAGGGTGGTTCAAACTTACAAAGAATATACCGCGAGAAGTCAAACACCAAGTAGATGGTGTTTTTGGATCCAAGGATGACGTCACTTTAAATGTCGGGGCAAATGCATACCATAGGGCAATTTTAATCTTCAACCATGGAATGGGGAGCGCAAGTAGACGATCAATTCAATCAGAATATGATCATGTTATTTGTTAAGGTGTGGAAGTGGGGCTTGAACGGTTTCAGAATCACGGTTGCACAAAAGCAAGAAGCCGACCGTCTCAAGATGGATGATATGATCTTATCTGCGATCTTTGTAAAGCATATCAAGTACCTTCGCAATCAATACAAGAAGCTCCTCAAAGACCCAAACGCTCTAGTTAATGAACAAGAGAAAAACACCAGAAGTGTGTCACTTCAGCGAGTGAGTACTTTGACATTATTTTGACCTCAAGGCATATCTTTCAACTAGATTTCTAACCCAGGTACTCTCATTTTTTATCCATTCAACAGAAGACTGAAAAGCGCCAGAAGCACCTAATGGCTATGGGTGTTGTACCTTGCTATGTTGATGCGTTTGAGAATAGATACGCAAACTCGGATGATGAAGTTGACGTCAATCCCACCTTCCCTGAAATTTCCATCAACTTCAGCAAATATCCGTTCTGGCGTTCCCCAATCGCAAACAACTTTATCGACTTTATAGAAGGCCACAAAGTACACTCAACTGTCCGAATCACTGGTGCTAAAGGACGTGCACCAAGAGGCAACAAAGCTCGTCCACGCCAACGCCGCGACCCACCAGTCATAGATTACGATGCAGTTGCACCTTCTGGCCTTCCTGAGGATTGGTATAATCCTGTGTTTCTTGCAAAGTGTACCTTCACCGATCTTTTGGCTCTTAAAATGGCACCACGAATGTTTCCACAACATGGTAATTTCCTCAGCATCTTGCCCGCTACAAACGATGTTACCTTATACGATGATGAAGGAGTAGCATCTATCCCCCCCCATGTGTCCAATGTACCTCTAGCCGAATCTCAGGGTAGCAAACAACCTCCTGAATTTCCACAGGCCCGTCACCTCAACTTTGAAAACCACACTGTGTTTGTTTGGCCCAAGGACAACGAGCATCCTGTAGCTGGACCCTCTACTTCCCGCAGTCATCAAACTACAGATGATGATCCAGAGACGGATCTAGAGATGGAGCACGACTCGCTGTTCGATGGTTCTGACGATGAACTCTAATTTACCATTTTCATGTATCTTCGGTGTGGTTTCATTTTACTTATACTTCTGCTTGTTCCTTAAATTGTGATAAAATGAAAAAAAATCTTACTGTGGTTTCATCTTGCTCGTTTTTCCCTCTTCAAATTACAATAACCTAAAAAATATGATTTCTTTTTTTCTCACTTCTGTCAATGTGCTTTCACCTCACTCGGTCTTTGATCCATTTGTATATACATATGGCCACTCAGCTTGAAATGAATGTTGCTTCTTTTGTATATACATATGGTCACTCAGCTCGTAATAAATGTTGCTATTTTTCTTGGAATTGGTGAGCTTTGTTCGCTTTCCCAGAACACAAACAAAGATGTTACTTTTTAGCTTAATGCCAAGTCATCCATCGTCATCCTCAAATTGCAACAAGACTTCTTTCATCAAAACACTTCTCAATTTGTTTTGTCATCGATTGGTCTCAGATATGTTTTTCTCATATGTAGCAAGAATCATAAGATCACAAAGAGATGCCATGTCCTCAAATTTAAGATAACATGTACACGGACATCTCCAAATCCAACTTTCACTATCACTATACAGTTTAAAATTGATTTTTTCCTATTTAATTGTGAGTTCATCCGGCACTGACTACAATCAATTATGATAAATTCACACACAATCATTGTCTTTAATTTAGAGCTAACAGATATATACTCCAAGGAGATGTTGAAGATGAGGATGTATATGTAGACAGTGGGGTGAGTGGTGATGAAGAATTGAGGTGAGGTGTGAACGACGTTAACCTGATGTATCTTCATAAAGGTCTATCAAGTGTTTTGTGTCAAGCCTGTGAAGTTTTGACACGAGATTCATGCCTCATCAAGGTATTAGCCAGGTTAAAGGCTCAGTTTAAGCTGGGTTAAGCCTAAGTAGGGCCAAAGGTACGTCAAGGTACATGATGATGTATACAGTTAAGTATATGTAGCTGTGACTCTTTGATAAACCCATACATGCCAGGTTAAAGCTTGTGAGGAATCAGGTTCTGAGTTTAGGCTTTTGGAACTTTAGGGCATAACTGTTAGGATTCCCGACTTTGTCTTACGCCATAACGCAGTCGGAATCTGCCCAAACAGTATATTGGACTAAAACTACCGAAGGAGCTAAATGAATGTGAACCATAAGTGAATTAAAGTCACATCCGAGGGATGTGACAGTATGTCACTCGGTTTCTATGTGTGTACACTGTGACTCAGATCCACAGATGTCTCACATATCGATATGTGACACCAATTTTCCCCCGGTGATTGCTCGACTACAAGTCTATCAAAGGAATCATCAGGATGGCAGCCTGGCCTTCAAAAAAAAAGACGCGCCCTGGCGCGGTTGTGAAAATGGGCGCGTTGGGCGCAGCCTCTCACAGTGCAAAAATGGAACAAAATGAAAAATGAAAAAACAGTCCAATGATTGCATTTTGACCAAACTTAAATCTACTTTGGTTGCTGATGAGGTTGAACATGGAATGTTTGCAGGTTGAGTGTTTAAGAATGGAAAGAGAGAGTTGTGGTAGAGGCTTGGCAATACAGTTTATAGAGTAGAGGAATTTTGTTGATCATGAAGTGATAAGGTAGAGAAGAATGTTGATATTTCAGATTTACTGATGATCAGGGATGGGTAAAGAGAATTTGAGGTGGGAGGGTATGTTAAATCAGATAAGGTTGTTAAGGTTTTTGAAATTTCAGGATGATACTTCAGATATCTTGGTGTTTCTATTTCACTTTGTTGTGGGTATTCTTCTTTTGCTTTTACTTTCTTCTTATATGTCCTCTTCTTTACGGGCTTTGGTGATCTGTACTAATTTTTCTTGTTTTCATGAAAAGGTTATCAACGTCAGTTGCTCTCGCAGTGGCAGTGCGGGCTTGTAACCTGTAGTGACACAATTTCAGGTGAGCACTCTGCTCTCTCTCTCCCATTGTTGGGAAATCCAATGATGGAGAGGAGCCGGAAGATCAAGGAGTGGTACAACAAGATATAGAGAATCCTAAACCTGAGCCCTGAGAGCTTTGTTGTAGATGTGGCGCCGGCTCCCATGGCCTCCGGCCATAACAATGCAAAGGTATTGCAAACAAGATGTGTGATAGAAGAAAGTTGCAAACCCAGTCACCACATCTTTCTTGATTGCATTATGATCAGCAACCCAGCATAATAGTAAAATTTTGATCATCTTAGATAACCAATCAGTCATCAAAGACCTTACAAATTTCCCAACCAACATTGCATCACTGCTCAACCGGAAAGAAGCCTTCAAAAGACTCAAATACTTAGCAACAAACCTCACATACACAAAAGTGACAATTTGGTGATGCCCAAGTCACTGTGGTGGCAAAGGCAATGAAACTGTTGACAAAATAGCTAACGGCTTGAAAAAAAGATTTGCCAAGCACCTTCACGTCTACCACAACTCTCGCAGGTTTTACCACAGCCATCAAGGCATGGTCAAAATTGGATGCAAATGAATTCAGCCCCCAAAACATCAAACGTTTGGGTCATAAACCATCACCAAAAAAGCATCTAAAAGCCTTGAGTCAACTTCAAAAACACAAATGTGCAACTATCATGCAGCTGAGATCAAATCATCTTTGTCTCAATTCTGACCTCAAGGTGTGCTCCGGAACCGAAGATCCGATGGATCTCCGTCAGAGCATCTGTCAGATCCGGATGTCGGAAAGGATTTTGAAACCATCTGGTGACCGGATAATCTGGCGGTTCGGTTGTCGGAATGGCCTGAAAACACCGGATACCGCAGCTTACGCGTGTCGTCAGGGACCCAGACCCGGTTTTTTGGCCGGATATCCGTTGGATCCGGATACCGGAAAGGCCTTTGACATCATCCTTGAGCTCGCCGGATATTGGCCGGAGCACACCTTGATTCTGACCTATTTGAACATCAGCAATGTTTTTACACCTTGTGCAAATGCCAAGAGGGCATTGAAACTAATGATCATTATCTATTCATATGCCACAGATATTCAAAATGTGACACAAAGCTCACAAATGCAATTCACAAACTTCAACTAAACAAAACATCAGACATCCTCAACTACCCAAAGGTTTTTGATCAAGTCAAGTCTGGCTCGCCGCGCTACCCAGCGCTACTAGGCAAGAAAACGCTAGCGTGGCGCGTAAAAAATCTCACAAAACTTGGTAGGGTTAATGGTAGTTGTCAACTTGTTTTTGGCAAAAATGGTAGCTTTTAGCGTGTTTTTTTTGCAGCGCTTCTCAGCGTTACCGGCCAAAAAAAAATTAATGTGAAAAATAAATAAAATGTAATTTGTGTTTTAAAGGAGCGTCAAGAAAATGTAAATAGTAGTAAACAATAGTACTGAAAAGGTTCCAGCCATAAGAAAAATAACAAAAATTAATCAAAACTAAAGAATAAGATCATAACGTTATAAATGATAGTAATGAAAACAATAAATAAGATCATATAAAAAATAAAAATCTATAAATAAAGAGTAAAAATCTTGATAAAGGAAAGAAACGAGGCATAGGTGAATCTCATTGATAAGTTTTTTGGGGTTTCTTCATAATCGCCTTCTTGGAAAAATCTATTACTTTGCCAACCTCCTCAAAATCCCCAGTAAGAGGTATCCCTTCTTGCATCCATAAGGTACTACAGACCAACATCTCGGTCATTCAAGGCTTTAATCCACCTCGCTCGTCAGTGCAAATCCGGCCAGCCACTGAAAACAATCTCTCTGGGGGAGATGACACTGCTGGAGTTGCAAGGTAGTCATGAGCTAAGACTGATAGAACAGGATATTTACCTGCATGACACTGGAAAGGGTTAATCAGTCAGGTGATAACATTGATTGACAATGATGCAAAGAAACATAGGACTTACCCTCCACCAATCCAAAGCGTATTGAGGATCATTGACGTTTGGTGATTTCATCGGATCAATGCCCTGAAGGTATCAATCCAGCTCGTTGAAGTTATTTACGGTTGCCACTTCATTATAGAAATCAAGGAAATCAGGTGAGAACATTGTGGGAGGCGAACCACCTCGGACTGAAGAGGTGGTCACTGGATCCAGTTCATTTGAATCTTCAGCTTCGGCTACTTGACGCTCACGCTTGGATGTGAATGATACTTGCAGTAAAGCTTCAGCTTGGTCGTGTTCAGGAGATCCCTCTCCAAAAGCACGAGAAAAGAATCGGACATGTTGTGGTAATCAATCTATGAGACCAATCAAAAAATCAAAAAAATTGAATTTTGAATTACATCAATTATATTACATATATTTTATCTTTGCATACTCAATTTATATGAAAAAACTTAATAAGATAAGTATAAACTATTAACAAACAGATTACAAAAAGAAAGAAAAAAAAACATAAGAAAAACTCTAAAATATAGGTATACAGGTTGAGAAATGGTTTTTCAGGTAGTAATATTAGGTTTATGGGTTTAGTAGAGTTAGAATATGAAAGAGGAGCATTATTTTATTCAGTAACAACTTTAATATTGGTGGTTTATAAGGGAAAATAGAAGTTATTGAGGAAATGGGAAAAAGTCAAAGTTGGTAAACAAGGGTTTACAGGTAGTTTCACATATGTAACAGTGGTATTAGTAATGAATAAGGTTACCAAGAGTGTCTTTAGAGATTTTGAAGGTTTTAGATTACTATGTAACGTTACAGAAGGAAAGAAAAGCTTAGTAAAGGTGTGTAAGTGAAGAAAATAGGTGAAAATAGTCGAAAATGAAGGTTTTCAGCTGATTACATGTGTCAAATGATGTCAGAACTTGATGAGTAATAGTTCATTCGACTCAGAATCATCGAATTCATAATGTACAACCTTTAAATCATCAGTAACAGAGGTGTATGACAAAAGTTATAAGGAATCAAAGGATTTGATTACACATCAACAAGATCACAAATCATTAATAACAAGCAATTACATCATTGAAATGCTGAATCATCATAAGATCAAATGAATATTCATTCTAGAAAATTCAAAACACAGCAT